CGAATACAAGTAAGCTATACTAATGACCGACCTCGTATGACTGTTTTCCTGCCTGGATTACATACTTGACGGAATGTTGTTTTGCCGTCTTTGTTATTGTGAATTTCAGTAGAAAAACAACCGATTATGGTTTCCATATTTTTGTTGTCTTTTATGTGAGCAAAGATAAAAAAGGCTGCGCGGGATATTCCGCTAAAATATGTGGTTGAGCTAAATGGTTTTAATTCTAAGTCATTTCCCGTTCTACTCATGATTTAATAGTCAAAGTGGAAAAAGGAATCAAAATATATTTTTGTAGGTTATATTTTCTCCCCTTGGGTACATTTGCCTTTTGATTGCTTTCGCATTCCTTTTTTATGGCTCTCACAGCCCATTTCTTTCTCCACAGAAATAAAGGACGTCAAACTCGTGTTCTAAGACAAACGAAACTTGTATTGCCGAATTAACGGTTCCTCTCTCTCCACTTTTTTTATTGAAGTAAACAAAATTTAACCATTTTAAAAATAAATTTTAGCGAAAACAAAGCACCGATGTACGACACACCCTAAACATGGACAAAGAAGCGACTAATCGCAGTTGGTAATCGAACCAACCAACATGTGGAACCGAAAAAACATTAAAGTCTATCTTAAAAGCCGAGAATGAAAAACCAAAAATACCGCACGTAACTCCTTTGGAATCCTTAATTAACTATATTACGTTTTATTATTTAGTCCTACGTATTCTCAGTCTCCCCCCCTCTCCCGCAACCCCTCTAGGGTCCAGTTAGGTTGTGCGCTTCTGGGAAGTTGCCCGATGGTGGTGGGAGATTTGTCATTGATGGATAGCACATTTGTCAGTACAATCTTATCTAGCGGAGACTAAAGCCCAGTTGATACGTGAAACTTTTTAAATTTAACATCTAATGAATCCGATGATGAACTAAAGCACAATTTTAAAGAATTGCTGCGTGATGATAAAATTCAAACAACTTTATTTTCTTGATCCAAGCATTCGTGGTTTCATGATTATGACGGAGAGTGAATTCAAAGCAGGAAGTGAGAGTGATGTCACATCACCCAGTGAACAAGGACTGGACTTTGATGAAGAGACTTTGAAAGGTAAGAATTCTTAGAACTGTTAATATAACGGTTTATTGCCAACGGACCAAGGGAAAAAAGCAAAATTTTTAATTACAGAAAAAAATAAACAAAATAAGGCAGCAAGATGAAAAAGATTTATTTCATTTCTTGGTCAACGCTGCCACAACGGAAAGAACAGGAATTGAATCTCAAAGAAAGATGTGGACTAATAAAGTAAGATGGCTGATGAACAATCTGAGGAAGCTTAAGTAAAGACGAAGGCGACGTCAACGAGAACGGCAAAACAGCAATAGATTTAGATTGGCAAAACAACAACTCTGCACGTGCATCACGCTGTTTTGTACATTTCTTTCCCGTTACTGCATGACAATGACGTGAACTGAATGCCTATTTTCAGGTACTGTGGAGCCTGACGTGAACACAAAAGAACGACATTTATTTTTTCAAACTTGTTTCCAGTTCTCCTTGACCGTTTTGTTGTTTTTATCTCATGTATGCTTCATTTAGAAGTGTCACGGATAGAAACAGCAAAATACTAGCCCCCACCGGAAAGGGAAATTTTTTGTTGACCTCAATGGACCGGGAATTCTACGCGATGGACGTGAACACAAAAGAACGACCATGGTTTTCTTTTCTTGAAGTTCGGTACACTCTTTTAGAATTCAACTCCAGAAAAAATCGCCAGCATTTGACGAATTGAACGAGATAGAATAAGTGCAATGAAGTCAGGCTTCACTTTGTCAGTTACTTTTTTGTAGCCCTCGCCGTCGTCGTTGCTTAAACTCCCTCAATGAAAAAAGGAATTACGTAAGAACGGGAAAACCTTAAGGAGATTTTGATGGACTTTTTGTTGGATGGTTTTAAAATAGTGACTTTAAGGGATGATTCTGGTTGAAAGCCTTATTGTTTATTCATTTCCTTTTTCCCAAAAATCTAGCTAATATTTCATTCATAGAAAACTGACACAATAAGGTTGCAGTCATTGGTTAAATAAATGTTTAAGAAATTTTTGGATGACTTTTCGAACGTTTTCAGTGATTAAAAATGAGGAGGAATATTTGAAATTATTGTTGAACTTAAAGTGAAAAACTACAGTAAAAAGGCAAAGACCAGATAGTTAACCAGTACGAGAAGGTGCCTCTGAACTTGCATTAGGGGACTAACTGGTTTAAGCATGTACATTTACCTAACCTTTTTTTAATTTTTCAGTTCAACCCGATTTCACCCAAAACGCAACGCGTAGAGCGTTTACATTTTCCTCTTTGGCACTGAGATTTTGTTGTTTTCAAGCTCAACAAATAAACAAATAAATGGTGACCACCTACCCCTCCCCTAAGTCACAAATTTGCACTAAGTGAAAAGTAGTGTTAATGTTAACTTAGGGAAGGGGTAGGTGGGCAGTTACCCAGAAACCCCTATTAATCAATCCAAAAAACTGCAAAAAACAATAACAAAATAAACTAACCAAAAAAAAGGGCCAAAAGTGAAAAACCACAATCAAAATCGATGGAAACCGAAAACCCACAGAGCCTGGCAGTCAAAAACGGCAATGAAATCTTACTATAGTTTTTCAATAATTTGCAGATGTTCATGCAAAGTAATGAACGGTGAATTAGTGGTACACATCGTGGTATTTACTTGAAAAGTTGTTGTTCTTGTTACCAACAATACGGTAACTAATATGGAAACCCCCAAAACATTTTTTCAAAAATAAAACCAAGAGCCATTATAGCTCTTGATAAAACTGAGTACACTAAAAAACAAAAAAAGAAAACCGCCGAAAGGGAATTCTCCTGTAAAACCATAAATTGGAAGACGACGAATCCCGAAAAAAGCGCGAATATTAAGTCCCCTATTAATGAGGTAACAATTACTGATGTTACCCAATGATAATCTCAATATACACCAACGCAAACTTGATACTTCGAAAAAAAAATCTTGATTCTTTTAAATGCAATCTTGATTACCTGAAACGAAAACTTGATTACTTTCGAAACAAAATCGTCTTTGGAATACAAGTCAACATTAAACTTTATTTGCATATCGGTTCTGAATAGACCTTTCCACGAGTTCAACAAGTTAGGGAAAATCTTTCGACAACACTGGAAGGAGCGTCTTAAAATTAGTAAAATTGTCCGCAAAGTCGCTAAATTTGACAGACGTTTGTAGAGTTGGCGAGGGGGGGGGAGGGGGCACATACAAACGTCTGTAAAATTTCACGACTTTGTGGCACACCTATATCTTCGTTGGTTTTCAACAAATCACTATCAAACTTGGCAATTTCACTAATTTTTTATTGAAAAAACCGTGAAAGGGTTTGTTGACTGTAACTTTAGCATCGCAACTGGACGAAAAACTACCGGAAACAACCAACCAATGCAAAATAAACAGACCGAACCAGATCAGGAGAACGAAACAAGCTGAAAATTCATAAAAATTAGCGGCAAGTGAGCAACTGACTGATTGAATCTACCTCTCTCTTCTTCTACTCACACCATAAGCTAAAAATAAAATGTAGAATGGTTGAAGGTAGTACGGTAAAATATCAACACGTTCAACACGTACTATTAAAGATACTTCAATTTGCTTCATTTTCAGCAATTGCAGAGGTTTTCAATGATGAAGGCAGTAAAGCTTGCGACAAAAGAGACTACAGCAGCGCCGTTTACTTTTATACTGAGGGGATTAAAGTGAACTGCAAGGACAAGGATCTGATGGCTGAGCTGTACAGCAACAGAGCACATGCACACCTTTTTTTGGGTGAGGCTGTTTGTATTTTCCACGGTTTAGTAGGTTGCGTACTTGTAGGGCTTTCAATTAATTTCTACCAGGTGTTGTGCTTGTTCAAAGCCCTCACTGTTGTTCGGATACAAAAAGGAACGCTGATAAGGTGTTTTTTGTTTGATTGACCAGGCCTGTTGACAACACAAGATAAGAGAAGAAAATATTTTATTTGGAGTTTTATACAAGATAGTTTATAAACGGTTTGAATTTCCAAATGATTCAAAATTACAAAATATACTGGTCATTGATTCATTACACTACGATACGCGGGGGTGGGGAGCAGTCTCTGTACATCAAGTAGAAAAGAATTTGCGAATTAATTATGCTGAGGGGTAGAAACATGACTTTATCATTTGATCGTTTCGATGAAACCAGCGTTATCATCGGCTAGGTCATTTCAATTTATTGCTGCCAAGAAGACTTTCAGTCACTAAGTAAACATATTCTTTGTATGTTGAAGGGGTACTATTTTTCAATGGAAAGAAAAGGTCTACCTTTTGTGTTAGGGTAAGGGGCCGGCCGGCCGGACCTCGGGTCGGAGCCCTCTCGTATGGAACTTTGTTGAGAGATTTCCCAGTTTCTCTTTTTCATACTTACGAAGGCTAACCCGCATTAACCGATTGTATTTGCTTTGAATTTTGTTTTGCCTTGCCGCACCTGTTGTGACTTATTTTGGGTTTGTTTTTTACACATTAATTTTAAAGAAAATTACAGTGACTCACTGAGGGATGTAAAAGATGCCACTGACATACGGCCATTGTTGGTAAAAGCCATGGTAACAGGTAATTGTAATGTTACCCTAGTCTCGTTTAGAAACAGTGATAGGCTTACCGTGATAATGTCATTACGTTCAAAGACAAGAGTTCGCATCTCCAGGATCTGTGACACAGCACCCTTGCGTATTTCATGGTTTGGTTTTAGAAAGATTTTTGAGATTAATTAGTTTTAGTCTCAACGTGGTAGTTATAGTGTCCATGTTTACGGTTGCTTGAATAAGGGAATATAAAGCGTATAGCGTATTTAGTAAGAGTATAGACAAAAGAAATCAGACGCAATTTGTTTTTCTCTATCTCTTGGGCTCGATTTTCCGAGAAACTTTGCCGGAAAGTGGACCTAATAATTGTTAATGTTATTGTAAAAAAAGCCAAATAGACAGCAATTTGATGGTGTGCACTCCTATGGACTATTAGAAATGACGTGAACAAAATGTTCAAAACTTTGCAGTGAAACCACTCATCTGCGGCTCGTGATTTCACTTGAGTTTTGAGTTGTGAGGTCACTTCTATGGTCAGGAACCCACAGTACTCATGGGTTCCTGCTATGGTTCATAGCAGTGTTGACCATGGAAAATTGTTGTCCGCGAGCGTTTGTTAATTTCTTATCAGAAACAATAATAAACTGATGGATACGCCCAAGGGATGCCAGATTTGAGGGAGCTTTACTGTATGCTGCCGTTTTACTGAATTATATATTTACATATTTCAGGAGCTAAAGCCTCTTTGAAGATGAATATGTCTGAAAAGGTGATCGCGTGGTGTGAAAGAGGATTAGAAGTATCCTTATGTTCATACTTTTTAAGTCCATAGTAAAAAGGTGTTGCAGCGTACTATACTCATCACCATACATTCCCTGTTATAACATAATGTTAAAATAGTTGCGAATTTCTTCACCCCTTCCTTCCCTACGATCTAGGTTGCAAAAAGAACTGTGTGTTTTCTCACCTCCCATGATTCATATGTGGAAGTAAAAGCAGGAAAAAGATAAGTCACTTTTCTAAACATAGATGTACATGCCTGTTATAGACTAACCTCTCTTTTGAGTAAAGGAAGCATGGAGGAAGGCCAAGGTTAAGTCTAGTTTCATTGTTAACACCTTAACAATTTTTTAAGATTGATAAGGAAAACCAAACCTTGCTGGAACTGAGGAAACATGCGTTAACAAGCGCAGAAAAAGAAAACACTCCTTTAGGAAATACAGTCATCGACAACAAGGTGTCTTTCTTTAAAATAAACGTTTTTGTTTGATTGTATGCCATATAGAAATTCTCTTCATATTTGACATAGCTGAGTTTAGTCAAAGGGAAAACTTTGTTGAGGCGATTGGTGTGGCGGATTTAGTCATATCTTTTGGCTGCAGTTTAACCACACATGAAGATCAATCGTCATTGTCTAATAAGCTTCCCCAGATGTAATTTACTAATAATTTATGACGTTAATAAATCGCGCAGAGGGTTCAGATAGATGAGCTAAGGGAGCCCATGAAAGCCAATAAGGCTTACGACAAAAAGGGTATTTTTTTTCATGTTAACTGAAAATACAGCTTGCTGTCTAAGTTACATTTGTGAACGGTTTAAATGAATTGATACTGGCTACAATCTTTGGAACACGTCGTGGCCCGTTTTTCGTACGAGACGTAAACACAAACATAAGATAACATGTACCTAGACCCCAGGCCTCTTTATTCCGCGCAGCCAATGCGTTTCAGGTCGTATGGTACGAACGAGTTTGAATGAGTCTGAACGTTATTCGTCTCGCTTACGTTACCGAAATACACTAACCGAGAACAGACTAGGCAAAGAGAGCAACGAGAACAATCGATATATCAGTTGTTTTGGTATTTAAGTGCCAATGTAGCTTTGGGAATCTATTTAAAAAATTCCCTTGAAACTAAGTGATCACAATTTGGGCCCAAAACCCTTTCAAAGCTTTAGCCCCTGACTCTATGTTACTCCATGCTACACCTGAAAATCAAACTATTTTGGCAGCAATTTTAAGTTAAAAAAAATTAATAATGATAATAAAACAGTCGCAACTTGGGACTTCAAGAATTTTTATGAATTAACAGTTAGCTACAGATTGCATTATACTCTCGCCAGCTTTTTCATGTCACACACATTTTCTCTAGAATGATCTCCATACGTTTCCGTAAAGAACTAGTTATAAGAATTTGATAAAAGATCTAAGCATTTCCCCTTTGGTGATTATTCGATTTATCAATTTTTATAACCTGTTGTCTTGATGAAGTATTGATAATGTTGTGAGAAAAAAATTGGCTTTCATTGCATAATCTCGACCATTATTATTATTATTATTATTAGACGGCAGACGATTATAGACAACTTTTCATGCTGTCGCCGGAAGTTTTTAAAAAGTTTGATAGAAATTAATTAAGATATTGTTTAAATTTTCTAGTCTTTCCAAAAAAGCAAAAGCAAACAAGGACTAGACAGCAGCGCTTTCAAAGAGGATGGCATGGACAGTAATGACCTTGCAATCAAAGCGTCCGAAAAGGGTGATTTTAGAGCAGCCCGGGATTATTTTGAGTTAGAATTCAAGCAGGCCAAAAAGAACAAAGAAATGGATAGGGAACACAAAGCATGTTTGAACCTTGGCACTGCTTATCACTCTCTCGGGCAGTTCCGAAAAGCAATCGAATTCTTTCAGCGGGCTCTCGGTATCGCAGAAGAGACAGGAAACAAAGATTCAGAAGGAAGAGCATATTTAAACCTTGGCAGTGGTTATCACTCTCTCGGGCAGTTCCGAAAAGCAATCGAATTCTTTGAGCGGGCTCTTGGTATCGCAGAAGAGACTGGAAACAAAAATTCAGAAGGAACAACGTATGGAGGCCTTGGTGCTGCTTATCACTCTCTCGGGCAGTTCCGAAAAGCAATCGAATTCTTTCAGCGGGCTCTTGCTATCGCAGAAGAGACTGGAAACAAAAATTTAGAAGGAACAACGTATGGAGGCCTTGGTGCTGCTTATCACTCTCTCGGGCAGTTCCGAAAAGCAATCGAATTCTTTGAGCGGGCTCTTGGTATCGCAGAAGAGACTGGAAACAAAAATTCAGAAGGAACAACGCATGGAGGCCTTGGTGCTGCTTATCACACTCTCGGGCAGTTCCGAAAAGCAATCGAATTCTTTGAGCGGGCTCTTTGTATCGCAGAAGAGACTCGAAACAAAAATTTAGAAGGAACAACTTATGGAGGCCTTGGTGCTGCTTATCACTCTCTCGGGCAGCTCCGAAAAGCAATCGAATTCTTTGAGCGGGCTCTTGGTATCGCAGAAGAGACTGGAAACAAAAATTTAGAAGGAACAACGTATGGAGGCCTTGGTGCTGCTTATCACTCTCTCGGGCAGTTCCGAAAAGCAATCGAATTCTTTGAGCGTGCTCTTGGTATCGCAGAAGAGACTGGAAACAAAAATTCAGAAGGAACAGCATATTTAAACCTTGGCAATGCATATAACTCTCTCGGGCAGTTCCGAAAAGCAATCGAATTCTGTCAGCAGGCTCTTCGCATCGTGAGGAAGACTGGAAACAAAGATTTAGAAGGAGAGGTGTGTGTTACCCTTGCTTTTGCTCACTGCTCTCTCAGGCAGTTAGAAAAAGGAATCGAGTTCTATGAGCAGGCTCTTGGTATCGCAAAAGATACTGGAAGCAAAGATTTAGAAGCAAAAACAAATCAGGGCCTTGGTAGTATTCATCTTTATCTCGATAATGTCGAAAAGGCATTCGAATTCTTAAAGCAGTCTCTTAAAATCGCAAAGGAGACTGGACAAAAAGTTAGAGAAGGAGTGGCATATGCGCACCTTGGTCATTTCTATGCCTCGAGGGATTTTGAAAAAGCATTCGAGTTCCTTCAGTTTGCTGTTAGTATCGGAAAAGAGACTGGAAGCAAAAGACTAGAACGTTTAGCGTACAGACTACTTGGGATAGTTTTTCTGGAATTCCCCGACGACTTTTCCAGAGCTGAGGAGTATTTCAATTGTAGTATCAAACTGCTAGAAGAAATGAGGGATCTTCTGCAAGACAACGACCAATGGAAAATCAGTTTTCGAGATCAATATAGCGTTTATACAGATTTATGGTGTCTTCAATTACGTCAGGGCAAGACCCTCGAGGCCTTTTTTACAGCTGAGCGGGGACGAGCACAAGCTCTCAAGGATCTCATGAAATCAAGATACAGCGTCGAATTAACTCAGTTATCGTCGGAGGAGCAGATGGAAAGAATATCCTGCATTTCAACCCATATTTCATCCCCTACGATATTTATCGCGGAGGTCCCAGAAGAATCAGTGAATTTCTGGTTGCTGTTGAAAGGTCAGCAGTGGCAGTTTGTGCGAAAGAAAACCAATCAGTCCTTGGTTTATTTAATTAAGAAAGCACATCAACAAATGAAAGTTGATAAACCTGTCAGGGGCAAAGATCGTTCCTTGGATGGAATAGAAGATGAAGAGATCGGGGAGTCATCCAGCAGGGGTACAAATGAGGAAGAATCAACTCCACCACAAGAGGGTGATGATGCATTGAAAAAATTGTATGACGTCATTATTGCTCCGTTTTTACACTTGATAAATGGCAATGAACTTGTTATTGTCCCTGATGGAGCATCATTCTTGATTCCTTACGCTGCCCTTGTGGACCAGAATGGCAGGTATTTATCTGAAACGCTGAGAATTCGATTGGCTCCATCTGTGACCAGCTTAATGCTGCTGGCAGAGTGTCCGGATGACCGCCATAGTACATCTGGTGTACTACTCGTCGGTGATCCATGGGTGGAAACTGTTTGCTTAGGCCGCAAAAGGTTTGCGCAGCTCCCTTGGGCCGAGAAAGAGGTGAAAATGCTTGAAGAAATGCTAAACGTCCAGCCTCTTACAGGAAAGAACGCTTCCAAGGAACGAGTATTACGCAGACTCGAGTCAGTTTCCTTAGTGCACATTGCAGCTCATACTCGTTCAGAAACAGGTGAAATTCTTTTGTCTCCTAATCATGCTAGTCCCGAAAGACCCAAAGAGCAGGACTTTCTTTTGGCAATGGAAGATGTGTTGAAGGCAAAGCTGCGTGCTAAGCTTGTTGTCTTAAGCTGCTGTCACACTGGGAAAGGGAAGATCTGTGCTGAAGGAGTAGTTGGTATTGCACGTGCTTTTCTGGGGGCCGGTGCCCGTTCTGTTATTGCGTCACTGTGGGCAATCGAAGACAAAGCCACTATTGAATTAATGAGAAACCTCTACGAACATTTGATTGCAGGGCATAGCGCAAGTAAGTCTCTCAATCAGGCCATGAAATTGGTGCGGGAGTCTGGTGAATTCAATGAAGTGAGGCAATGGGCGCCGTTCGTGCTGATTGGTGATGACGTGACATTTGATTTCCCATTATTGGCCAATGAAGGTAAGATTCTCACACCGAGTTGAGGTAGAATGATGATCACGTGGTTAAGATTCTTAGACGAAAGAGTGCTTTAATCCTAAACCCTTTGATTTTTAGTCCTTGATCCTTAGACTGGAAATGAAACCGGAGTTTCGTTAACAACTCACTTTTGAGAAACAAACAACTGCCCGAAGAGTACTATGTTTAATCCATAAATTAAAGAGTTTGGAATATTTGAACTACAAGTGGAGGCTAAATAACAACTTTTTACGCAACAATATTCCAAATCGGTGTAGTGCGTTATCAAGGGAGGGAGGAAGGAATTAGGTGACTTTGATTGAACTAGATTTTTTTCCAAGGTCATTCCTGTGATCACGTTTTCCCTAGTTTTTGGTGTAAATATAAGACTATTTACTCAACTTAAGTGAAATGGGCGCAAATGGGCGTGATTCTTTCAGGAAAGCACGTGAAGCACACCTTATCCATAAAGCTAAGACAATTGAACCTCTGGGCATCAATAAACGTGATGAACTGTAACTATATATAGTTATATATCTTTTATTTTCTTGTTATCTTGTCTTTTTAAAGTAGCCAGACCATACCACGTCATATTATGTGATTTCCGGTCATTACTTTACTTCATATATATTTATGTTAATTCGTGATATCTCAATAAACCCGATGAAGACTGGTATTGGCTAGTCGAAATATCACAACCAAACTCTATTTCACGTTGTTTGGTCAGTCCCCGCAAAAGTCGTCTTGACTGTAACGTTTTCAATTTGATCTATTTTGACTGATCACGATCTTTTTGGATCCGACGTTGAGCAAGATTGATCGTACACGGTTTTTGCAGTGTTTTTTTTTTTAAACCTTAATTCAACATTCAACTTAAGTATTAACTTTTTTCGTTTCAACTCCCCCCCTCCTCCCCGCAACCCTTCGAGAGTTCGACAGTCAAATGGTCGTCCACTAATAAACACTGCTTATACTTACCACTGCGCCACCGTTGATACTACACAAGTCTTTGTAGAATTTCTTGTTGCCTTGTACTACAAGGATTTTAATAGATTGATGGGTTCTATATGATGCAGAACCAGTCACAATCCAAGATGTCCCCAAGTCGGAGTCCTGCGTTCTGACAAGTTTCATTTCTACTCCTTTCCTATTCGAAAGCCAATTACTCGGAATCTGCCTCCCAGACATCTTGGATTTTGATTGGTTCTGTAGTGGGGTTAGGCTCGATTACCAGCCGCTGTTCGGGAAATGAGCCCGCGCGAGAGAGCAGCGGAAATCGAGCCCAACCTCGTCCCCAGGGTCTTCTCGTTTTCCTACCACCGCGATATTGGAAAATGAGAAACCCCTGGCGACGAGCTTGAAATCTAGCCTACTGTTAAAAGCCTACAGTGGGGTATGAAAACGATGGAAGCTGTTAAAACTTATGGAGGACCGCGCGTCAGAACGCTAACACCCTTTTTTTGTCTCTTTCAGCTACGTCCCGGCCAAGCACAGGGACGGATCATTAGTCTCTGCTGAGTTTATCCACCGCTGTTTACATGTCCAGGGGATAAAGCCAAACAGAGAACCAAGACATTAATTTTTCTGTATATAGCAAAATAGAGCGAAAAGCTGTCAGAAACGACAGCTCATCTATAATATATAGATTTAGCCAGGGCTAAAAGCGAAGCTCTGGTTAATAATACGTGTAAACAAAAAAAAAAATCCTGTAACGCTAAACGGGGCACGACAATGAAAATGGCTTCAAGACTAATTCTAATTAGCAAAAAAACAAATTGCACGTGCAGCACACTTTTTCTTCTAATTAGCAAAAAGCAAATTTGCACGTGCAGCACGCTTTTTTGTCTTTCCCTTGCCGTTGTTTTGCACGACTACAACACTGTTTTGTACGACTAAATGTCAAACTTCCTAGTTACACGCTATTTTTATGGAGAAATTGTCGTATGTGCTTGCCCAATATTTTGTTTCCAGTGTTCATGTTCGCTTTTATTTTTCACTGCCGCTCATTTTTACCTTGCTGGCCGCTAGCATTTCTCATGTTCTCACCGCCGCTTTGAATTTCCTTGTTTTTCTTCCAACGAATTTTCAATAACTCGCTCTAGCTGTTTCTCTGTTATCCATGTTAGTGTACACGTAAAAAATAACGCCGAAAAAGACTCGACTTTTTTCTTTCTAAAAGTCCGGGCGGCCATGTGACTTCGTTCCAAATAAAACGTTGAGTTGCATTTGGGTTCCCATACCTGTTGATTGAGTTATTTTACATTGGTGTGCCTGTGGTGCGGACGGACGGTCGCTCGCTCGCTCGCTCGCTCGGTGTACGGTCACGTGATTACCAAATTTTCTGGGATGGGTAGATTACCACATTTCCTTAGCTATGGGGCTCCGCCCAAGCGCTCGCTTCGCGCGCGGGTGGAGCTCCGCTATAAACATATTAGAATTAACGCAATTCCGGCTGTGTCATTTTTGAGTTCTTCTGTACAAATAGAGGAGTAGAATATTCATTATTTTATCTAATCATGTTTTTTTGTCCTTTCTTGAGTAATAAATAATTTTAACTGAATGCTGCGTAAGTAAAATTCAAGTTTTTCCTTAGATTATTTGTATGTCAAGTCTCCTTTTTATGTAATAACCTTAATTTTCAATATTTTTCATCAGAAAAGAAAGTAAGCAATAAAGTATATTCAGCAATGACACATTGTGGTCTTGTACAAATCATTGAATTATCGAACAACGTATTACTGCCAAAGAAAAGAAGAAAATTTAAGAACTCAACTGTCTTTCAGACACAGACAGACTGATTTTTAATGGCTGCAAATTATATCGATACTACCCCTGGGCTGATCAGATTATATTTCTTTCACAGTATTCTAAGAGATATCGACGCCGAATTTTTAAGACGATAGCTTGATTGAACAAATTTCCAAATTTTACTGATTTCGAAGTTCACTGATTTTTCGTCATGCATGTTTGCCAAAACCTGCATCTGGACTAACCACAATCCCAATGGAGTTAGTCGCCGATAGCCGTGAAAGTTCGACAAGAAGGGACATCTTTAACAACTTATTTTGGAATCTGATTGATGCGTTTTAGATTTCTAAAAACATATCAAATACCGTAACATAGCCCCAAGCCTCAAAAACCACAAACTAATTAACTTTCTTGCTTGCAATTTAGTTTTCTCATGCGCGATTGGCTTTTTTCTTGCAAGAATAATAGGTGTAAAAAATTTATCGTAAATGGCCTAGTAAACGCCGTGGCGTCTATTTAATTTAGGGGTCCATAGATAGGGGACATTTAAAAAGGAGAGGCGTTTATTCTCGTATCTGTTACAAGTTCAACAAAACTAATATGTGTTCCGAGAAAATATCTAGAGAGTTTAATAATAATCCACTCCTTCAATTGACACATTTTTTAATTTAGGCCGTATAGAGATCTATATCTTTCTTTCAAATCCTAACATTGATGTCAGAATCCTGACTGAGGGTTATTGTGTTGCCATCGTTAGTCTCTCCTTACTTTGAAATTGACTTCGAACAAGATGAAATACACAAACGATGATTTTGCTCGTTTTTGCTAATTTCTAGTATTTTGTAATTCTCATAGGCGGCGCTTATTAGAGAGGGGCATCTAATACAATTTTTACAGCGTAGATTGGGTGCTTACTACATAAGAGGCGTTTATTTGGTTATTTATAATACCTAATTTTGTATGTGAAAGGAAACAAATCAGGGTCATAAAATAAAAAGGGTAACGAAATGAGCAATATTTCTCTTAAAAAGGGTCAGGTTTTGAAGGCTCCTACGGTACACTTCTACCCAAACTTTCATTGAGCTGTGCCCCCCCCCCCTCCGCATCCCTCTACCCTGCTAGCAGAGGTTTCCCGCGTGGCTTGTCTGTCGCGTAGTTGGTTTGTTTACGCCCCGTTTTCTCACGGACCGTAAAGAAACCAACTACGCATCAGAAAAGCCCACGGACGATTTCGTGTTATAAAACGTTAAAAGCAATGCAAGAGAGAAACCTCTGCTCGCAGGCAAGGGTACATCACTCGAGCTCTATTAGTAAACTATCTGCGGAAAATAGTATAAAATTGCTGCATGCATAATAAATGTATGGAAAACTGTGCGGAAATCTTACCCAGACTTCTCCTATAAACTGAGCTGGAGAATTTTTGCAAAAATCAATTAACGACTAAACTGCAAAGGGTCCAGACACTGCCAGAGGAGATGTGTTTGTTGTTAGAACATCAAAACCCGTCGAAAACCTCTGAAAAAAAGGGTTATTTTGATCGTGTTACAGTTTCGTTACACATTCTATATATCGCAAACCAAGAGACTGAGGGCTCGCAAGATCGGCTACTTGGCACTTCGTGCCTCGGTCGCCCTTCGGGCGAGGTGCTGTGCGTCAGCGAGGATATGGCTTGCGGTTATTGATTTTCAAAATGGCGAACAACAAAGTCGATCTCGGTATGGATAATAGAAAGACCAGTCTTTCCATTATCTATGTTTAGCATTAGTAAAACACCACTTTTTTTCTATTTTCCGTTTTGCTGTGGAGGAAAGTTTTTGATGATGGTGTTTCATCGTCGATCGAAACGAATTAAAATATTTTCTGAAACGCTTGTTACAAAGTACCTTTATAGTGTGATAGTAATTATTACATCGAAACGTGCATGTATACTTATACATAATTACTTGAAAGAAAAAAAGAAAGTTTTCTAATTAGTTAATATTGGTTGTCCCTGTCTTAAATTTAACGTTTTATGCCTTTTAACCGATGCTTAAATTAATAAAACACACCACTGAACTTGTTTAAAGTCTGTTTTCGTTGGGCTCGGTCGTCGACGTCTTGCCGACGTCGCTCAAAAAAGCCGACTTTTTGGGCAATTCTGTACTATATATTGTATCCAAACAAAATAACTCTTCTAAATAAGATAAGTGTATTGAAAGAGGTAATGTAGATTGTATGCTGGAAT